AAGACTATAAATATAGAACTGGTTATTAAAAACTTATTTTATTTCATTACTAATCGGCATTGAACCTATAATTTCATTATGCTTTCTTAGTGCTCAACTTGCGCCACCTATGGGGTACATTGAGCATACTTGACTTTTTGCATTTAAACAGCTGTAGCTTCCAAATTTTACTTACTACCAAAAATTAGTATTAAAACTTTTGTTAAGCGATAAACAAAAAATCCATTAAGCCATATAGCAATTTATTGAGACTTTTCATTGAGGAGCTACATCAGTTTAAGTAAAAATTAGCTCAACTAGCCCCGCCCTACCCTATATATTGAACCGTCCTGGGCTGTTGGTAATGCCTTTGGATGTATGTTCTGGATCACTAGTACGACCAGGAATTGTAATGATAGGCTGGACCCGAGCGGTGACGAGTTGAAAAGTTGTAAAGTATTATATTTGTGATGTGGACTCTCCAGAGTCCACTGGTAGTGTGAAAGGACTTTAGGACGAACAACGATTTGATAGTAAATTGTAAACACACTTCTTTCTTCGAATGATACTTTATTATTCACTACTTTTACAATTTATATTTGTTGATAACCTTTTGGTTATCATATCAGCAAAGACTACATTTTACTGAATACTATGTCTGTCAAACTTACTCCAAGTTTGACTCCAAGCTTGACTCCAAGCTTGACTGCCGGCCTAACTTTTGTCTAACTCTTATATACTAATTTCTTGTTTACAACCTATTTACAAAATCCAACAGTAAGCACTTCTGATGACCACGTAACCTACATATAACTAGCAACGCGTTTTGTAATTATTAAACAAAATAATGATTCGAATTGTTATTACAGTTCAATATATATATAATTTACAACATGAATCATAATATAGAACATGTATAGAAGGATAAAACAAATAAAAATAATAACTTGGATATTGAGCGCAAAAACAATAAGAACTACATTAGAAAGATATTGTCACAAGCCGAACACAAATAAAAAGAGACTGAAAAATTAACAATAATTAGATAGAAACGAATAAACTGGAATGGACACAAAAATAATGAATTATAATAAAAAGCAAAAAAAAACTATTAATATTAAATATAAAACAAGCCTTCTTGATAAAAAAGCAATACGGCGACCCATCGCTATGATATAAAGAAACGCGCTTTTGACATCTGAAATTAGTGAAACGTCTCTTCGACGGCAACTTCATGCTCGCTAAATTGTTAGCAAGTGTCAAATTATTAGCATGTTTTAATGGGTCCTGACAAAAAGTGTCACAAACTGTAACTTAGTTTTTAAGAGAACGAAGCGTCCGTTTTTATTAAAACATTTTTCTTGTATTGACAAGATGAATAATTGATTAAATTTTCATGAAGGCAGGTCTCGCGGTTATGTATATCTAGTAAAAAAGTAAAAAAAAGGCATTTGGCGGTCAAAAATAATCGTTAGACATATGCACATCAAATCATCAGATATTTTATATGGATTTTAACAATAAGTATAAATTTTGTTTACATTCCTATGGGTTTTGTACCAATGTTTATTCGTTTCATAATGAATGTATCTTTCAGATCTAAGTTATATAAGTGATATCTTTGTAAAAAATGTGCCCAAAAAATTTATATTTTGCAGTGTTCAAGTAATATAAAAATAATTCGTTTAAATTTAAAACTAAGACATTGGATTTGTTTGCCCCCCTGGCTCTCCCTTTTTACCCAGCATATGGTAATTCTTGATAATGTGCAACAATTTTTATTATTGCTAAATTATATGAATAGTTATATTGATTAATGTAAAAAAAACATTGGATTAGTTGAAGCAAACCCTTAGGGTTAGTTGTAACATACAAAAAATTAAAATGTGCACTTAAGCAAACATCTCTTATCTGTATTATATTTATTTCCATTATATTTCGAGTATTGACATACCGTCAAAAAAAGATCTTACAGATTTAGTTATCGTTCTCAGAAAAATCGCCACAGCGTGACAAACGCGTGTATTCGCGGTTTCTGATCGGAATCGAGGGCGATAGTTCTGACGCCTTCGACTAGTGGCGCGGAACTGTCGCGTTCCGGGCGGGGATGATTATATAACGCCCTATATCATTATTTTGTTGCCACATTAAAAACTAATGCCGATTTTCTAGTATAAATACTGGCATAGATTTCTTTTCAGATCAGTACTGAAAACAACACAACACAATTCTACAACAATGACGACTGTGATCTGTGTAAGATATTATTTGTGGATTTTTGTGTTATATGAGATTTTTCAAGGGTACACTACCCCAATGGATATGTTCATATTTTAAGTGCCAAGTGCAAATTGTGTGAATTGCAAGATTGATATAAATGGTTTTGTGATCGAAATTATAAAAATATTACGAAGGCAGTGAAAGAATATATACGATATTTATTTGTTGAATATATTATTCAATATTATAATAATCCCATATTATATCAATTCATTTGTGTTATGTTTAACATGATATTCATGATAGTACTAATATATTTGCAAGTTTCAAAATTTAATGCACTAATATATTTCCAAATTTCAATCTAAACAGCATGTATCCTTACAATTTCAAGAAAAACAGTTAAGAAACAGGTCCGCGGGTAAAAAGGTCCACCACCAACATCTCAAAAACAAATAAAGTTAAAATTGTTTAAACAACAGTGTTTTAAAGTAGAGGGTACAAAATATTTAACCAGTCATCACCTTGATTCTTACAACGAAGATGAACGGTCATGTTTGAAAATCTATAACAAATGTATTTATTTCATTTGTTACTTCTTTTGGTTGCAAGCATTGCTGTTCAGTTTACGTTTAAGATCCTAATATAATTTTTAAGTATTCCTTTTTTATTTTTTTTAAGATATATTGTCATTTTTAGAGTTAGGTTCAACTGTTTTTTATATAACCTCTTGAATAGCTTACATGCGATTGGGGTGAAACGGACTACTTAAACTTTTAACCTGGCAAAGGTGTTGAAAATAAAAAATACTAAATCAAAAAGTTAAATAGATAGTTATTCCAACTCTGCTGATAAATACCAGATTAAGGTCATGTACAGTGATATCAATGTAACAAATATTCCCATAAAATTTATATTTTGCATTGGCTGAATATTGTAGCTATTATTTTGAAAAGTTTCTTTACAATTAAACATAAGACATTGAATTTACTTCCCCCGTAACTGTTTCATTTTGTTCCTCTAATGGGGTGAACAGGGACTGATGACAAATTGTATAAAAATAGTTAAAATACAGTTTTTCCAATTAGGAATAAATTAGGAATTTTACTGAATATAGGTCGATAGTTGTTTGTATAATACGTGTTATGTGTTGTACTGTGATTAATTCATTTGGTTAGACGGTATAATTAAGTAAAGTCTAATTGAAACTTTGGGTCCCGTTCTTTTGCTCGCCGGTCGTCTGTTCAGTGAAAATTAAAAATTAGAATCTGGATATTGTTAAAAGTTACAGTTTTTCATTCTTCACTCAAAATTCAATTTTGAGATGTTGAATAATATATTTTTCTAAAACTTTACCGTACTGCAAAAAATTTAATCCTCGACACACTTTTGGAACTAAAGATAAAAATTTTTGTTTTAGATTTTTTTGCGATTATTATAACTTACCCTTTGGGATGGTAATTAATACAAATAAAATGTATGTCTCCTGAAATATAAATTTTTATCATAAATCCTCGTAAACAATTAATACCATAATATAAATAAAAGATGTAATGTTTTCTGCAACATAATTACATGTGCTCACATCTTACAAATTATATATTACATTTAATCTTCTTCACTTGAATCTGTATATAAATTTTGTATGGTACAACTAGCTCCAAGGTTTTAGTTCATTACCCCCAGAAGGTTTTTTTTTACATTGATCAAAATAACTACTTATACAATATAGCAATCACAAAAACTTTTACAATTGTTATCAAAGATTTATAAATTTGAAATAAAATAAAATATATTAAATTTAAAATTAATCGATAATAATAACGCAAACCAAAACGTTATGATAGATCAATTTTATATTTCCTGTAAAAAATTACGGACCTGCACAATTCTGTTTAATTCGTCGGCCTGCGGGGCAGTGCCTAGGGCAATATTATGCAGAACGATTTCGATGCCCAATCGAGCAAAAACATATTCTAATACCGTTTAAGATCCTATTAAAAAACGCCTGTTACTAGTTACCTCTGTTACAGATAGCCCCTAGTTCCCCTACTATTATTATAACACTATAACGAAAGTATTGTTGAATTATTTGATTCACATCAAATTAAAAGTGATTTTGCAAAGCAATAATTCTTTAAAAAAGTTAAAGAGTTGTTTATATAAAACCAATTTAATTTATATTTTTCTTATTCATATAATAAAACTGAAAAAAAACTGAGTGATGGTTAAATATACAATATAAATATTTTTTTAAATTATATGTAACATCCACAAATACAATTTAAAAACCGCAATTCTGTATAAATTTATGCGAATCCTTTACGAAACAAATCAACCAATTTTTTAAACAATGATCATAATAAATGGATAGGCATTACAACAATCAAAAATATATTCTTTATCAATAATTATTTAACTGCAAATATGTTTGCATATTATACAGGGGCAATGAGAAGTGAATATGTTTGCAAATTCCTGTTGAATTAAAAAAAAAATAGTTCATTCAATTTAAACTTAATAGTCAGTTAGGGTAAAAAGAACCAGGAAACGACAGAAATTATAACATTTTTAGTATAATGGAGAAGAATTACTAGATCGGAAATGTTGTCAATTTTTTGCGATTTTTACTTAATATTACTAATCGGTAAAAGCTATATTAGAAAACACATGTTGCACACCCAATACAAACTTTTTTTTTGTAGACCTGTGTTATTTTTTTAGTACATTTTTGCAGATCATTACCGATTATTTTCTCGGTTCTCATTCCAACTCTAAACATTTCGACGATTCCATTACAGGTGGCAACTCTACTAGCCGCGGCGGTGGCTTTTGCATCGGCCGAACACGGTAACGCTTACTCGTACAACCACTTCGAGGGACCGGTCAGCGGCCCTGTGCACAAGATAACAGTACCTCTAGGTCTGAAAGACGGTGATCACGACGGACAGCATGCACAGGCGTTCGACTACGTGGTAAGGATGATTAATATTAGATTTGTTTAATTATATTCAATAGATTGTATTTTATAAGAAATGATATAATAATTTATTCGCTCTTTCAACATTTTTTTTAGCAATTAGTGTCGCAAGGCACTGTGTCTTAAGGCACATTGCTGGAACCACCGCATTGTACTAAACATTCGGGGAATAAAAATAATCAATATTCAATTATTTGTTATTATTCAATAAATAATTCATAACAATCGTTTCAAATATTTTCGAATGGAATATTTTAAATACTGTAAATTTATATGTTCTTATTAAATTGGACGACGAGCATATTCTACAAACAACTTATGTAGAGAATTCTGAAAAGTTTAGAATTTTTTATTGATTAGAAAATTTTGAATTGTTTTTTAAAATTAGATTTTTTTTAATATTTCGAAATTTTTCAAAATTGCTTTACACCTTCAAAACAAGCAAAATGCTTTTTGAATCATTCCAATTGGACAAAGTGCAGTCCATATCTCCGAAACGGCTAGACGTGCCTTTCAAAAAACTAACGCACTGAATGTTTTGTTATGCATGCAAATTGCTTGATCTGTTCAAAATCTCGAGAACAAATGTTGACCAGAAAATGTTTTTTTCTTTAACTTTTTATTTTGGAACTTCGAAACCGCTGGACTCTCCTTTGCAAGCATGTACCCCATTCTTCATATAGTCAATATAAATAATATCTTTTAAGAATCTAATCAGCACGGCTCCTCATCAATACAATTCGAATGTTTTTTAAATCATTAATTCGGTTGATCCATGCTTTCTAAAAGATTGATAAAAATTGTATCTGTACACACACAGGCACACACCTACATACATACATCCATTTTTCCTCAGGTATACCAAAATGTTCGGAAAGTTTTGAAACGTAAAGATATATAAAAATTACGCGATTTATTTGCTTTCCCTACGGCATGTTAAAAAAAACTTAATAACCAAATTTTTAACTTTATATTGAATATTTTGACTGAGATACCACTAAAGATATCAAAAATACGATTACTTTAATCAAACTCATCGAGCCGTAAAGCTAAAGAAAATTTTAGATTATTGTTAAATTGAACATCATATTCAGTTAAAAAATAATTATATTATATATGTATTACTAAATATATACATATATATATATATATATATATATATATATATATATATTTTGTAGAGTTTCGAACAAGAATCCAAAAATTTGTCACATATTTTGTTGACAGTTCTTGTCACTTTAAATCGGAACAACTATATAAATTTTTAGAAAGAATTTCTAGACTGTCGCATCGGATATCGACTCTGCAACATGTTACTGTCTATAATGAATTTTAGAAATTCTTTCTAAAAATGTATATTATTGTTTCGATTTAAAGTGATAAGAACTGTTTTAGTAGTGCATTTGTGAACAATTATTATTAGGAAATAATTAGGAATATTATTACATTCCACTGAAGATGACACAAAACAATGTGTCGAAACATATGAAAACAATAAAAATGTTATAAGTTCTTATAAGTTTTTAATTGATGTATTGCCCTCAAAATTGATTCTCACGTATTTCAACATCAAATTATAAAAATTTTTAACACACGCACACACACTTACATACATACATATATATATATATATATATATATATATATATGTATATATATATAAAGAGAGAGAGAGTGAGAGAGAGAGATCCAAAGATAAAACGTCAACGCTCGTTAACGATACGTATTATAATAATTACTGACGTTTGAATAATAAATGTTTTTACAAGCATAATCAATACCTGATATTTTACAACTAATTACAACTACTCAAGATTCACATAATAAATTAAATTTTATTGTAAAATTACGGTATTGCGCAAAAACCGGCAAGATTATAAATTAGTAGTAATTATCGCAAAGAAAAACTCTATTAAAATTAATTAAGTTGTAGAATGAAATTTACTTTTAATTTTAAATATGTATATTAATTTGTATTCTTGAACTTGTGGCAGGCCAAGCCCGACTATAAGTTTGCATATGGAGTTGAAGATCCTCACCGTGGAAACTCTCAAAGAAGAAAGGAATCTAGAGACGGAGATAAAGTACAAGGTGAATATAGGTAAGAAACCCAATTATTTATTACCTAATTGAATTGATTGAATGTTTGATATATTTATTGACCAAAATTAGCAATAGTCCGTACAATGTTTAATTGGAATTTGGACAGTGTATTGCTCTTATTTATTCAAACATCTCAGCTGTCTCACATCAAATACCATCATCCGGTTTACTAATTATTAATATGCTAATAATTTTATTCATGCATGCTGATTAAGTTTTCATTAAAATTTTAATGCATTTTTATTGAACATTTTATTCAATCTTTTGATATCAGAAGTAGCAATATCACTTTTCACTTAAAGACTTTGATTAAAGAATTCTATTCAACGATCAGAAACAGAGTAGGGGTACTTTTTTTTAAGACAAAGTTTATGCTTTTCAAAAAATTCAATCTGCTAATTTTAATAAAAACGACGAGCCGTTTCTTCGTAATTGATAAAAACTTTTTTGATGATTTTAATGTTAATTTGTATGGCAAAAGTATTCATTGTTTTAAGAAACAAACAATAATAGACCTACAAAAACTGTTTTAATTATAAAAAAAATGACATAGTTTGGAATAATCGGACGTTTCAAACTTTTAAGCCAAATCTAAATTTATTGATTAAGTCAATAAGAATTTAGTATTGATTAGGACACTTGCATCTAGGAATTATTGCAACTTGTCTTAAGGCAAAATACCTTGTACACGTGGTTGAGTTCTATTTTATTCGAAGCATTTCATAAATTTTAAATGTGGCCCGAGTTGTAATTTGTGCTTAAATGTCTACCACATTCAGGCACATTATTATTCAAAATTAAGAAAATCTTATTAGAGATTATCGATTGAGTAAAATTAAATAATATACAACATTTTAATAAAGAAATTAACATGTCTATAAATAATTACTAAGGCTCATTCAGTATGTAATTTAATCACATCATCATGAATTTAGAATTTCCTATAAAATTTTAAATCAATGTACTAAACATGTAAAACACGTATTCATTTTCAGTTTAATCGAACCTGACGGTTCCCTTCGTGTTGTTAAATACACCGCTGACCTCAAGAATGGTTTTCAAGCTATCGTCCAACATACCCCATCCCACGCCAGCGGTTACAAGCAGCCCACGGTCACTAAATATCTTGTCAGTCATCGACCAAATGAAGGAGCTGCCCAGGAAGGAGGTCATCAACAGTACCAACATTATCATGTCCAACCACTACTAGAACAGGTAAAGAAACAAGAGCAGCAAAAGTCTGCCGAAGTGGTTCAAAATCAGGAACAAGATGAGGATGATAGCAGCAGTCGTCAAGAGGAAGAACAGGAATCACCAAAAGTTAATGAAAATTTTTATGATAGGGAAAGTCATGAATCTTATGCGACTTCTGAGTCCGGTGAGACAGATGAATCTCACCACAATGTGAAAACCGAGTCGCCGGTGAGCTATCATCGTATCCAGTTAGAAGAAGAAAGTGAAGAACGCGTTTATTAAAATTTCACTGTTATTTTGTTAATTTCATTAAATGCTCCAACTATAGTACTTGGTTTATGAGATTGGCTATGGATACACATTCGGGTATGATATCAACATGATAGGAAATAATTATATGAAATAAGAAATTATCAAAGTGAAATAAGTCAGTGTATAATTTAAACTTCTATTTGATTGAACAATTTGAACATATTTGTTTAAATAAAACTGAAGAGAGGTATTTTGTTAATGTTACCTAATACACAAGTACAATTTACCACTTGACTTCTACGCGATGAATTCCAAATTATATTATTCAATTTAATTTTTTTCTTAGTTCTATAATGTTTAGTTAATTTTTGACAGTTTCATTGGAACCGTTTTTGTTTATTTGCAGTTTCATGGGAATATTTACATGATTAAATTTTTGACTTTACGTTGTGCGCTATTCTTTACAAATGACTTTTCGCAATTTGTAGAATGAAACTAATGAATCAAACATTTTTATCCAAATGTTGTCTATATTGAGTTTTCAAAATTGAAAACTAAATATAGACAGTATTAAAAGTGTATTAGTGTATTCATCAGGCAAAATGTTAATCAATAAATAATTTCTCCGGAATATTTGCGATACTCTAGAAAACAAACTTATTTTGTGCGCGATTTTACTTCTCTGTGAAATACTTTTTGTTTTGAGAAGTGTATGTATGTATGTATCGATTTTGAGTTAAGTATATATTTGATCAGTCTAGTAAGTAAATTAATTTTTATAGCATTTGGCATTGGTTGATATCATTAAAAATCTAAATAAACCGAGTAAACTTTAGCCTAGTTACATATTACTCTATTTAAGTGGTCGCAGCTGTTTGAATACATTCAATAATTACGTGAATCAGAAAAACGTAAACAGCAAAATATATCCAGATCTAATTCTAATATAAAATGGGTGTATAAAAATACGCTTTTGTTATCAATCATAGAATATAAACTACAACGTCTTGGAAATATTATAAAATGCTTGCTAATCTAAGTAACACGCGAGTATAGTAAAAGTTATTAGTCATTAATTTGTAACAAAAGGCTTCACGCAATTAATGACCTTCATATGTATCATTTTTCTATAAACTTTCAATTGTTTGTTTTAAATGTTTAATTATCATAAAAATCGAAATCTGTTATTCATTTCTTGTTTATTGTTAGCTAATCGTTTAGCCACGTTTATTGTTATCGATTATTGTTGCAGTTACATTTGTATTATTATATAATTAACAAAGTTTATAAATTAATTCAGACATCTTTACAAGAGAAAATTTGTTAGTATTGCATAACTCAAATTGTTAAATTTTATGTTTATAACTTGTCGGCCGCTAATGTCTTTTGCCTTTGATGAGACAGTCATCAAAATTCGCATCGGTAAATAAGTTCGTTACAATATACTTAACATTTGAATATTGAGAAATCACTGATAAGTTAGCTCTCGTAAATTAAATTATTAGCAGCCTACGAGATAAATAATATTTCAATGACTGTCATTTATAATGATACTATATGCAAATACTACACAATTATTACGTACGATGTGGTGCATTTATAATATTTCTGTATAAATGATATAGAAAAAGAATTTTGTTTGTATTTAACACCAATATTAACTATTTATTGCATACATGCTATATATAAACATAATATATAATGTGGTTTTATTGAGTAAGAAATAAATTTAAACTTACAAGTACTATTTTATGAAATGTTGATTGGTTTTATCAATTATATTTAAGGGATCAAAATATTCTATAAAGATTTCAACATTTTGTTTTTATGTGTATTGCTATATATTTTCTCTATCTATCATTTCTAAATTTTCAAAATCTAAAGCTATCATATTGATGCAATTTATATATTTTTCTATTTTCACAATCTTCATGTATGACTAATTTTGCCCAAAATAAAATACATTTATAGAAAACAATAGTAATTCTACAATAATACATAGAATGTAGAATGTTTTGCTCATTTTAGTAAAATAAATTAAACCGTCATATAGTCGATGATAAAAGCAACTCAATATATTGCTAAATTATGAAAATAAAATTATTTGTAACTAGTAGAGTGCTGTAAACAAAAGTGGGCCACGTTTTTATTTTTGGCTGTGAAATAATTAAAAATGAAGTTTTTCTGTTAATTTTTTTTAATGGAAGGTTATTCCAAAACGCTATTTTTTATCATAGCAAATGCTTGCAATGATGTTGGAAAATATTTCTCTTTTTAAGTGGCAAAAAAGTGTATTTATCGTATTTTCCGAAAATGTAAAGAGAAGTGGGCCACCCATATATTTATGTGAAATGATGCTGCTATATGCTACAAATTTTTACCCTGGGGATTTTCAAGTGCGCTGATCCGTTGTCAAATTTACAAAATTCAAAATAGTTGTCACAAAATGAATGTTAGAAATTGAAAAAAGTACGATATCAGTGAAAATGTTTAGTTAATGTTTGAAAAGGTAATAAAGATGGAAAGCTAAAATTGTTGAAGAAAATATTTTACAATATTCAAGCATAAATATTGGTGTATCTGAAGAAGTTGGTACAGTTGGTCATATTAAAGCACCACAAGTGGAAGGGTCTGTCGCAGTTATCGCACTCGATAGAGTTATTTCTTTTCAGATTTGCCGGCATTAATTTATTACAAATCATGCAAAAATCGATGTCTTCGTTTGATGAAATCTAAGACTTTTCTTTTTTGCCTTCTTGTCAGCTGCTTGTGAAGCATTGGCCTCCTTAGATACTGATGATTTCACTGTTCTGTTTCTGTCTCGACCTCTGTTTCTAGGGGATGCAATGATGCGTTAAAAACACGATCTGCTATCGTTAGTAACAGCAGAAGCAACACGCTCCGACATTTTATTTTTTTTCACTTCCTTCATAGCAATAATGATTTTTTTATAAATCACCTGTTTTTGGGGATTCTTTTTTTAGAGGGCATAAATAAGATGTTAATAATTAATAAAAACACTTTACTGTGCAAAAAATGGCATTACTCAAGTGAGCTCATGTCTGACCACAAGTAGTGATCCACTACTATCTACAAACGCCCTTTTCAGCATATGCATCCCACAAAAACTCAATGTAAACTAGTGGTGTATGGCATCGTGCGTTAAGGCAAATTGCTGGTACTTTCCGTATCGTAACGAAATGTTCGAGGATACTGTAAAATTGTCTAACATTTATAAGAATTGCATAAACTGAATTGCAAAGTTAAAATTACTTATTATAAGTGTGCTTTGTTCTAGCTAGCAAGAACTAAAATTAAAATCTGAATTATTTTCGATACACAAAATTTTTTTTTGAAATAAAAAAAAATAAGTACGTTTTTTTTCAAAAGCAATTATTTTGCCAACGCAAGCAGACAGTTTTTTGAATCATTCAAATCGGATGCTTAGTTCTCTCAAAAACTGCATTTTTTTGTATTTTGAAACGGCTGGACATTTTTGTGAAAATTCTCTGTGAAGTGCTTGAGTAAGTTTATAAGCTCCAAATGCTTTCTAAAATTGAGCAAGTATCAAAATGTAATAAATATGTGCGCAGTTCGACGTACATGCACTAGTCTTACAGTTATTCGGGTGGCCTACTCCAAGCTGTGCCCTACGTCTCTCCACCGCACTTTAGTGTCAAAGTGTTATGTAAAGTCAAACATACATAAAGAAGTGAAGATAAAAACAGGCAATATAGCGGCTGTAATTAAAGGATTTATTGATTCAGACAACCAATTGATTGAGGAAATAGGCCGAGAAGTGGTGAAACAGCCCATATAAAAGAAAATATATGGCAGGGCACGAGCAAAGTCTCAAGAAACCGAAACTCACAAAATATAAGAAATGCTTCATGTTAATGAGAAAAATGGTTTGTCAAGACGTCAGTCGATCGTAGAAATATGTAACGAAGAACAAATCGAGGTAAATGACTGGCATAAAGTTCAGCCGGGGAAACAGAAAAAAAAGAAGCAAGGGTATATTTGTCAGAACAGGACTCTAATCATAAAATAATAAAAAATCATAGAATTTTTCCAAAACCAATTGCCTTATTGATCCGGTCTACCGAAAAAGTTAATTATTCTGAAATTTCACGTCGTATCAAACTTGATGTCCCTGATAACCAGGTAAATACAACAGTAGACAGAATAAATAAAACCAGAAATGAAGACTTGTTGATAACCATCTCCAAGAAAAATGCGGACAAAGGCCAAGGACTACAGCAGATTATTGCAGGTGTGTCAAAGGCTGAGGCCGAAATTATCTATAAGGGGCACCAAGAAACTATAGAAATAAGGGATATTGATGATAGAACCACAAAAATTGCTATCCAGATAGCACTACAAAAAGCAACCGGAGGAGCCTGCAACACACCAGCAAAAGCATTTAGGATTCGTAAGGCATATACAAGTACCCAGATTGCTACTGTAGCTCTTCCAGCGGCAATTGTACACGATCTGCTCAAAGCAAGTAGCAAAATACAAATTGGATGGGTCAACTGTCAAATTAAAACCACCAAGAAACCAATCCGGTGCTTTAAATGCTGGCTATTCGGACATTATCGATTACAGTGCAAGAGCAAAGTGAATCGGACCAATCTATGTATTAGATGTGGACAAAAAGGTCACAAAATAGACAACTGTATAAATGCAGCAAAATGTGCACTATGCGCTGAAGATGGAAACTCTGAAAATGTAGCCGCCTCAAGCACGATAGCTTGTCGGATTGCCGGAGCATGTGTTCTTTGTGTAATAAAAGTAGCAAATCAGATTTTTTGATGAAAACAAAATTCTCCTTCGGGAAGTTAAAAATTTTGGTACGGATCCAAAAAAAATGACATAAAATATGTACATATTAAAGTTTCTATAAAATATTTAATCATTTGATGTGCATATGCCCAATGAACCAAAATAGATCTAATCTTCAAAAATTATTATTGGCTCCTGCACAGAAAACCAGAATTATCAACTTACAACAAATCACTTATATATAA